ACACACACACACACACACACACACACACACACACACACACACACACAGCTGCAGTTTTTATGAACTCTGCTTGTGGACAATTGCCTCCCCCCCCTCATCCATCTCTTGACTTCTTATCCTCTAAGAGGATTTGACTAGATTTACAAATTACACCCAATGTTATTTTCATTTAGAAATGAGGATGAGAGCCAGGCGGTCTCAGCTCCAACGAAAAGCCCCAATGAAAGCTATTTCAGTGCATTCCTTTGACTGATGACAGTTCTGTTGATGGAATTAAATCACCTACTGATAATATGCATACAGCACAAGTTACAGTGCAGAGCAGCTATTCAACCACTACCTGTAGATGTGGCTGTGGTTATGTGGGACTCATGAAGAAAAAAGGGAGAAACCACGACGTAATGCCATATAATGATGTCTAAACTAAACACACATTAGAAGAGCTTTAACACATCTGACTCACGCTAAACTATTGATGTTATTAACTTCATTAACAGCTAAACATTACTTTAGTTCAGTGCCGTCTTCAAATTCCCCAAAACCCACATTCACCTGAACTCCAGCTGGTACCTAGGAGTCCGAGCACTAACTGGATTTGGATTTTTTTAGGTTTGCTCTTTGCTGAACAGTTACTGGCATCTCAAACTTGAATTAAAATCGCAGTACATGTGTGTATATGCATGCATGTCAATGATGAATACTGCTTATTGTCTGGTGCTGACAGGTTTTTAAGAAAAAAGGATAAGAGGGAAAGACAAAGTAAAAGCCATTAAATCTAGAGAGACAAAGCATGATTGGCGGAGCAACCCTTATTCAGGTACAATAATGGGGCTTTGAGCGATGTCATGCATGTAATAGTAGTACTTTAAAATCAGTACCAGGAAAAGAACTACTGAAAGACAAATATTTCTAAGAACTGAGCAACTACTGCATACACATCAGCCATGCACTGTTAATCATCAAAGAACACATTACAGGTCAAAAAACAGTGGCGACAGGAGCACACACAGAGGAAAAAATGATGAAAAACCAAAATCATATGGTGTGTGTGTGTTTGTGAGAGACTGAGAGATCAATCATCAAAAAAGATGCATAACGATTTGAATGAATTCAAGTTCCATCTTGATTTTGTATGAAAATATAAATATGCTCCATTTGTCTTCTAAGTGAAGCTGAACCATTGACGTCGGCCATCATGAGAGACAGAAAGCCTTGGCGTGACGTGCCCCCTTCCTTAATGGCCTAATGACTACCATTAAGGCTGTTTTGACAGAAAATGACTTGGCAACTGTCTTTTAACAGTGGGAGGCCGTCCGCCCACTTTGTTCCTGTGGCGGAGCAGGCCGCTGTCGAGGCTGACCGCAAACTTTATTATCCTCATTCATTGGTTATCCGCAATCATCCAAATCAGTTATTTTCTAATGGAAATACACATTCGCAGGTCGTGGAAAGGCCATCACTTTTTATGGGGGGGGGAGGGGCATCATTTACATTTCAAAGAAAATCGTGACGCTACAAATTTCAATTTGGGTTTGTCCTCCGAAAAAAGCCAACCTCAGGCACAGTTTCCCTACAGGCAAATGAAATGCCTTGATTTTCCTCAACATATCTGACACAACTTAAATCTCCACCAGCATAATGTCAGCGCGCACACTGTGGAGCACTTCTGCTGGCTTCTCTTTTTAAAACTGCATCTTAGAAGCCGACGTGTTAACCTGCAGTGAGGGAGCACAATTTGTCAGTATTAACTTGCAGAAGTTTGGGGGGGGGGGTGGGGGGGACTAGATGTGGGACTTCTCTACACAATGCTCTGCATGTATCTGACAAACAAAATATCCCACTTATAATGTTTTGAACTGAAGTTTTTAACCGTGATATCTGGGGTGGAAAAATAAAATGTCCCGGTGCTGGTTTCACTTGGGAGAAAAGTGAAAGCTCCGAGATGTACACCCACACACATACACAGAAACAGACAAATGCACAACAACACACACATGGTATCTATTACATATTTATCTTGGTTTCAATACAATATTTATCTTGGTAGTAGTTTTTGGTAATCTTTAGTTGTCTTTTTCTTTTCCTGCATCCCTCTCATATCGCCCTCTATTTGATTACATGCTGCTGTTGTCTGTGTTGCTGCCGGTACTCATAAAGCCTGGCTTTGATTGATCACCTGCATCTCCCCCTCTCTGTAGTCCATTACTTATGGTAATGTCAGGTTAAATACATCTAAACTTGCCGGTGATTGATTTACGCATCCCCATCCATAAACATTCCCTTACTTTTTAGCCTCCTCCCCTTCCTCGCCATTTCCCCCTCCCGTCTCCAACCCTCCCTGTATAACGTATAGCGTTTGGGTTGGGAGCAATGGGGCTGTAAAGGAGGCCTGGCTGCTGACACAGCTCAGGACTGGAGGGTCAGACAATGCAAGCGGACTCTGCCAGCAGGCCAAACAAGCTCAAACTCATACTCTGAGACAGAGATACATGACTAGTTCTATCTATGCTCTATTTTGCTCGCAGACACACACGACGCATACATGTTTGTTGTACTGTACTAGTGAGGACCTCATCTTTAGCGCTCCATACCTGCAGCCTCTTGAATCTAATCTTAAATGTAATTCTAGTTCTGACTTTAACTGGGCGGCTTCTTTTCCATCAGTTATTATTAGAGAACAATTGCTGTTGATTGAGCATTATATATTGTAGTAATGTGAGTCATCACTGCATTGTGTAATTACAATATTCCACCTCCCCTTGTTTATATTTTGACTGGCTGAGATCCTCCATGCAATTTGTTACAATACAAAAACAAAAGTTATATTGTTGTCGTTTTGTAATTTCTTCATCGTGCTACTTGGGAATGAACAATAAAAGCACAAACTCTTGACTTTCAACACTTTTAAACAATTAAAGGAGTGTGGTTGTTTTGCAGTGAATCCGATAAAGTCAGCATCATTGTGCCATTTCCTCAGCTGGTGCCGTGACAATAAATGGTTTTGACTTTAACAACGTGGCCCGCTTGACTCAGCAAACATAATAAACATGTTTGATTAATAGCAAAATATGCAGAGCCTCTGAACGCAGTAAATGTGCCGTTTTTAGTGGATCTGCACAGTCATCATACACACTCACATTATAAGAAGTTCGGCTGTAAACTCAAGGACAAGGAGAAGTTGGCCCCACTGAAAAGGTGTGAATGGGCCGAAGTGACGTCCTGTTGCAAATATGTCCTCACCTCCGATGTCCACAACCTCAAATGACTGTTACCACGATAGAAGTGCAACAGCATGCACGTAGGGAGACAAACCCAGACACACATGACATCACATTCACACCCTGACAGAATACACACACCCATGCTCACACTCGACGTGTTAATGTGAAAGCCTCAACACTTCAGGGACTCAGGAACCCCAGATCCATCTCTGTCCTGACAGCAGTCCTCCATTAGCCGCGCACACGCACGCACGCACACACGCACGCACGCACACACGCACGCACGCACGCACGCACGCACGCACGCACACAATTGAATAAACAGTGTGCACAGAGGAAGACATAAGTGAAAACACAAATTAACACATGCAAATGTGAACACGAGGCACACTCACCTGTCTCTATCTCCAGCGGTGTTGTTGTAAAGGTGATTGGCAGCTCCATCGGCACATGCCCTCAAGAGAGCTACAGAAAGATAGACAGAGAGATACTTTAGCCTGTGTTACTGAAGGCAATGTGTTTTATATAAATAGTACACCTTACGTTCACTGGAGACACATTTCTGCCTTTATACGAGTCACTGTTCCATATAACCCAGTTCAAACTGGTGTCAACAATGTGCAGTACCACAATAAACCATGTCTCCACTTGTGCAGAGGTGAGCATACAGGTGGGCGTGTCCTCTCTACTTTAGGATGCTTCGATTGTCGTTCCTATATAGGTGGGTGCACCACCTTAGCGGAGTCTAACTGCTGTCATAAAAGTGTCCTTTTCTCCACACACTTCACTCGCATCAGTTCGACCTGCTCACATTCAGAAAGCCTCACAGCATGTACGATTAGTCCCCCCCCCCAGGAGTGAGATACAAAGATGACACATACTACTTGACATTGGACACCACATACTTTGTGAAGCAAGGGATTAGGAATCGTGACCTGCCATTTATGAGTCTGAGTTGTACAGGGTACAAGGATTTTCAAAGGAATCATTCTCAGATAGGACCTTGTGTATCTCTCTTTATACGGAGGTGCGCTTTCATTTCAAACGGTGTCCGGGGTTTTTGTGAGGACGACTACAGCTTCTGTAGCCTGCTGGCTGGATTCTTGTTTTGTGAGATTTGTTTAGTTGAGTGCCATATAATAAAAGTGATGTTATTATACACTGATCTGGAGTTTCATAGTGGTATGAACAGCACACCATCGCTCCACAAAAAGCCATAATGAAGATGTTAAGTTTTCCTCATCATAGTCCGCTCACCAGTTTGCTGGCTTCCACTGCACATCAAGCATGAAAGATAACTTCAGTGGCCTCGATGTTTCCGTGCGGCGGCGTGCTGCGTGCGTCGTCTTTTTATTGTCTTTTGCGGATGCTGGTGGGTCAGGACCGTGACCAGTTCATCACTGGAATCTGATGTGGGCCACCTTTTGAAAATAATGTCAACGGCCAAAGAAATAAAAATCTGATCCGAGCACTAAGGCTTGTAGTGTGAACGCAGCCAAAGATCAATGTTCTGCTTCTTTTTGCGCCTGACGTCAGAGTGCTGAACCCACAAGAACAAATTCATAGAAAAAGGAAAAATATAACAAGCATGTGTTTGGACACCAGCGTCAGTAATACCAAGGCTTTTGTTAAACAAAAACCTTGGTATTACATCAATCACTGCAGGTCCAAATTAGTTTTAAAAGAAAACTACTTTTCTGCCATATAAAATATAACAAATGACACACTACACAGACAAGTAAATTGGATTTGACCCTTTAGAGGCAAAGTGTGTGAAAGAGCACTTACCTTTTCTGATTTTAAAAACAGTAAAATGAGGTGGTTATTTGCCATTCTTAAAATGGTATTCAAGTTGCATTAAAATAGATGCAAACTATTTGCAAATGTATGCTCTTTCATGGCCATTATTTTATTCAAATTGAACAGGCAGCCTATTTTTTTTAAGAGTTTGGGGCTCTTGTGTTGCACACGAGGGAGAAACTTCAAAGTATCAGCTGGCGTTTTCTCCTTGCAATCTCGCTCAAAACGAACTAAAGCCTGCACCGAAGAGGCGACGGGCAACTGTTGTACACAAGATGTCTGTCTCATCTGCTTTTTTTCCTAAAATGCATCCATTCCCCAAACTCATCCTTTAGTGTGCACGTAACTCATTTGTTTGGTTGAACAAAAACCGTAAAGTAATACGATAGGATAGACTATATATCACAGCCGTCTCTTATAAATGGGAATTTTGCAAGCAAGCACACATTCCTGTAGATTTACTTTGTATTTGAGCAGCATATTTCTACTGGATACGTTTTTGTTACTGGGTTAAATGTCCAGAGCTGTAAAATTCTGTCTTGCAGCGCTCTATTTATTTGTTAATTGGAGAATGCAAGCCTTAGTTAAGGAGCACAAATCCAGTTAAAGGCACCCGGTGACATCCTTTTGGTTCTTCACGTTTCTTCTATTTATTGAGGCGAGACGTGACATGTATGACAAGATGAAACCGGACAGGTGTAACATGACGGGGGCAAAAACAAAACACTATCAACGAGACAGTGGTACCTACAGTATTACCTACCTCGCACTTCAGGGTAAAATAATCATTAAGACTTTCTAACTGATTCCTGAACATCACAGACATTAATTAAATATTACAGTTTACAATTCTGTACACTGTAACAACGAGACATCACAGTCCTCAAACTATAGGCCTGCGTGTACGAAGCATACTGAGTTACACCTACATACTGTAAATCCACAAACACACACACACACACAAACACTTAAGTAGACGCGATTAGTAGAGGTAAATGGAGTTTGGGGGGGTCTCAATCTAACTTTCCTTGTCTGGAGTACTTAAAAAGTGGGAGAATGCAGACGCATTGATGTAAATAAGACACTCGAGGCAGTGCTTTATTCATAACCCTCACTACCTGCTGTCGACATTTCACGTCAAGAAATGATTGGAATGTAAATTACTCATTATCTCTGAGAGTGCAAAGGCTGAGAAACTTTTCAAACAGAGAAACTCTTCTTTAAGCCTGCTGGTGCCAGACTGTGACGATATCAGTCATTATCTGTGTGTGCACACAAACACACACACACACACACACACACACACAGAATCATTTTCAGACTTAAGGTTCTAGTACAGTTACTTCTGTCTGTCAATCATTTACTCAGCTCTGTTTGCATGGCATGCCATTAAAATGTGTGTGCACACACACACACACACACACACACACACACACACACACACACACACACACACCTCCAGTAAATCTGAGAGGTTTAAAGTGATTCTACAAAGTGCGGCTTTCAGGTGCCAACATCATAACAACCTTTCAAAAACTATCCGGCATTTGTATCATTTCCCATTATATGCATGTTCTCACCATATTTGTGCCTCATATCCATCCGTAATGCTTTCAAACTGTGGTGTAATAAAAGGGCCATCAGGCAGATCTCATAAATATCAATGAGGGGTCGTTTTTCAATATCTTGTTTACATTAAAACCTCTTTTGAAATTATTTAACGCTGTTAATTTATCATTTACTTTATCCACAGCACTTACAGTGCAGCCTCCCTCCTCTGCTGACATAAATACCGCCTCTGCTAATGACAAATGACATGACAAGTTTATAAATTATATTAGCCTCATTCAGCTTTACAAAGTATTTGAGCAGTGGTGCTACAACATACAGCTAAGGCCATAGATTTAATAAATGAGGTGATTGTTTTAAACTGTTTAAAAGTGATGTTCACTTTCAGTGTTTCTCAGAAAAGGGCATTGAGTGTATGCTTGTTTACACACTTGTTAGGCAATTTTTGTTTTTTGCTTTTTAAATCCATGTTGCTAGCACTCTTCTTCATCGCTGCATTAGTCAGAGCATTACTACACTTCTACCCTTGGTTTACACCAGCTGTAGTCTTCACTGTAATGGACTATGCCTGTGGGAGCCTCTGTCTTTCTATTAAATTTGTCTTCATCACAGTGGCAAAAAGTGGGCGAAATGAGACTTGAGAAAGATCATCTCTATCTGCACTGCATTCAGGCAGACAAATACAATTACTGTCATTCTCCCACTGAACACTATGAATTGCCAGCAGTATGAAGTGCACCCCAATTGTGAGGACAACAGCGGCACTAACTCCATCTCCTCAGAGTATACGAGTTTTAACGAACAAGCTCACGTCGCTGCCTTATGAATTCTGCCGGTGATATTGTGAGCTGCGCGGGGACAGCGGTGGCGAGTGGAGATGACCTTGTAAATTAACTAGCCATAATAATCCCTCCCTGCTGGCTGCAGAACCAGCTCCGCCTGCCACTCATCCTGCTGGATGACAGATATGGTGGGCAGGAGATAATGTACTTCCACACACAGCACTAAACCTGTCATTTCAGTGATTTTTACTCTTGCGTTTGATGCAGGAAAGATGCATGTTCATGCAGAAACACACGCACACACACACACACACACTGCTGTGGGGTATATTCTATAGCAGGCCAGTACTGATGAGGTTAGTGGTGAGGATTAATACCTGTCAGGTTGGGGCTTTAGCGCTGTAGAGGAGAGGGCAAACGGTCACAGAGGGCGGTGATAAGATTATTATGATGCCTTGACG